GGCCTGGATGCCCCAGGGATCTGTCTACTTCTACCCGGCCAGCACTGGGATTCCAAGCACACACTACCATGCCCAAATTTTTTACATGGGTTCTGAAGAGCACACAGATCTTCATTCTTGTTCAGCAAACACTTTACATACTAAGCTATCTCTCCAGCCCCAGAGAGTCTCTCTGGAAGGAGCTGGATTTGAGCTGACCCTATGCTCCAAGAAAACGTGAGATACTATTTCTCTTCTGCATTCTCAATGGATAAGGGAGGAGTTAGAGATGAAAGAGAGAAGTCAACACTATCATTAGGGGACAGTTCCATTGTAATCCCATGGTAGCAGTGACTCATATCTCCCTGACAAGCTCCTGGATCCAACCACCGCACTAAAGAGGCATTGAAAGATGGAAACACTGTAGGGAAATCACGAGGCAAACTCTTGGGTCATTCTTTAGAAGACTGACTTGCTAACCACCTATGCAGACCCCTCTCCATCAGAAGGGCCTACAACACTCTACAGCTCTTCCGGGGGAGGTCCAGCTCACCCTGCTGAGCCAGGAAGCCCCACACAACCAAGGCATTGGTGAAATCCTGTCTGCTGAGCCACATGGCTGTTTGTGTGTATGGAAAAAAAAAAAAAAGATTACCAAGGATCTGTTTGGAATATCAGTAAAAGGTTCTTAATGTAATTTGCCGGTTTTTACCAAGTGTTCCAGTAATTTAAGACATTCTGTGCCTGCGCTCAGGCCGGGTAGGGTGCCTGGTTCTTGGCAGTATAAAAGAGCCTTTTAGAGGTTTTTGGCCTGAGGCAGTGGCAAAAGTTAGAAAAACTGATGGAAGGAGGTTGAGCTCTCTCCAAAGACCTTCCAAGGAAATGAACGATGACATGTGATTCACTTCCTTATAGAAATGTCAGCTTTTAGTCACCAACTGGGATGAGGCCATCCCTTGGGGCAGACAAAAGCCTGAATACTAGTGCACAAATTTTAGAGATACTCTACCAGATAAAAGGTTATATTTAATCCCCTAATATCCAAACACTTAATAGAACATTCTTACAAATCTGCTCTGTAATAGCATGTTAATAAATAATGTAGCACAAAGATAGTATCTGTTACTAAGTTTACATTTAATAAAAGGAGGGGCAGGCAAGATGCCTCAGTGGCTGGGAAGGGCACTTGCTGCCAAGCCTGAGGACCAAAGTTCCATCCTGGATCTGAAAGGAAGAGAGAACTATCTCCCAGAAGTTGTCCTCTGGCCTCCACACTCTTGTCATGGCAGGCAACAACCCCCCTCCTGATGCACAAATACATGGCATACATTTTCATAAAAAAGGATTGTGTCGCATTTGTTCAGCGGGCACTTTTAGGCGCAAAATCACCAAGAAATGCAAACATACTCATAATCCTCTTTCAGAGACCACAGAGGAATTCACACAGCAATGGAACCCTCACCAATATCTCCTTCACTGCCACTGGGTAAACCCCAGGGAACCCAGCAGCAAGGGCATGACCTAGGTTGGGAGGGAGTTCGTCCTCTGCCATTTCTGACTCAGAAGACACTGCAGTTGTGACTTTTGGGCACTGCGCTGACCTCAGGGATGAGAGCCACAACCCGTTGACCTGCAGATGGGTTAGGCTTGGGCTGTATGCCTTTTGTTATCTGGGGTGCAGTTGTAGGGGTGTTGTTGTTTTTAAGCAACACTTAAAAGCCTAGAGATCTTACATCAACATGCAGATATCCAACTCATCCTTGAAAGTTGAAACAGGAGAACCTACTGCTGCTGTTTCCTAAATTAATACAGTCTCCAGCTGTATTATAAATACCTATCTTCCTACCCATGGATGAGTACAGCTCTCACTATTCACCAAAACCGTTTCCTTTTGCAGCAGGTGGAAGCTACAACAGGAGTCCATAATTAGTCAAAAGGCAGGGAATAAGTGACTGTGTCCCAGCTCCAATCAGGACATCATAACATTACCTCAATCCCTAAGGCTACAACAGGGGTCCATAACTAGTCAAAAGGCAGAGGATAAGTGATTGTGTCTCAGCTCCAATTGGGACATCTGTAACACCACCTCAACCCCTAAGACTTGGAAACATTTTGGGGGTGGGGGACAGAAAGATGGTGAAAGATGACTGCTGTGAGACAGTGCCTCCACAACATGATAAGAAAGCTTCAGCCATGAACTTTCTGCAATAAGGTTAGCGGCACAAGTCAATATACCATTGTGGAAGGGGAAAATGTAACAAGGTCCTGTTTGGATGAAAAGATACAGACAGTTAATAGTGACTAGGTGGGTTGGGTCAGCTTTCTCCAGAAACAGCCTCCGAATAGATTTCCCGGTCCCAAGTGGTCAGCCCTAAACACATGTACATAGGACAACACCAACTGGACTCAGTATGTCGTGTGTATAATTATAGAAGAGGAAGTCATGGATTCAAGAGGAGATGATCAGGGGAACACAGGAGAAGTTGAAGCAGGGAGGAATGGAAATTATGTCCATGCCGTGTGCTGAGGTATAAAATTCTCAAAAAAATAAAAATAAACTAAAAAGCTGGGAGCTCTAACAACATGGACCCAGCCTTCCTTCCCGAGCTACTTTGGCTGGGTCAGAGAAACAGCTGGCCACTAGGGCAGAAAGGCACACTCTCCAGCTTGCCACATTCCCCATCAGCCTCTCCTGTCACCATCAAGGCTCCACTCATCGGTGCTTCCTGTTTGGCCTCAGAAGCACTTGAGTTTGCTGCTCCTCATCTCAACAGAAAGCAAAGGTCTAGATAAAAACAGCCCTTGTGCTTAAGAAACCAAACTAAAGGAGAAGGCAGGCAAAAGCATGCATTACAGCAGGGCATGATGGGAACCCAGGGTTCAGTAGAAACCCAAAGGTGTGACTAACACCTGGAGAAGAGGATAGGGACAAGGACACAGAGGTAGCAAAGGCATTTCACAGGTGAAAGGATGTTGGGGGAGGGCTAGGAAGTGGCAGGCAGCTGTTCCTCATGTGCAAAGACGTAACAGGATAGTTTTTCTGAGAAGGACGTATCGCCTACTAGGTAAACAATTTGAACTTTAGTCTGGGACAAAGGAGTGCCAGGCAAATATTTAAGCAAAGACCAATTGGAAATTATTGTTTTTCTGGGGAAAGATATTGGTGGTGATATAGAATATGGGCTGGGACAAAGAGCTCAGGCTAGCCCACACAAGATGTAGAGGAATTCTCCTTTGGGTCAGCTTCCTATATTCTCTGGTAGAGACAACAAGTCTCAACCAACCTGCCCTTTCTTTATTTCACAGATTGACATGAGCCCACCTAGTTATCTTTTCTAAGGATTTATTTTATTTTATGTGTATGAATGTTTTGTCTTTATGTATGTGCACCAAGTACATGCCTGATGTCTGTGGAGGTCAGAAGGGGTCACTGGACTGACTCTCTGGAAATGGAGTTATGGATGAGTGAGCCACCATGTGGGCACTGGAAATCAAACTCAGGTCCTCTACAAGAGTAACAAGTGCTCTAAACTGCTGAGCCATATCTCCATCTCCTAGTTATTTGTGAATTACTTTTAAAAAACAAAAGCAAAAGCAAAACTGTGAGCAGAAGAGTCACAATGCAATAGCCTAGGACTTTGCTGATGATCCTCAACTCCACACAATAGAGATATATTCTTCCACCTGTCATATTTCCCTTCCCCATTTACACATCTGTGCCAGCAGTTCTAGAAGCTTAAACGGTTTCCATTCCACATGTGGTACAAGTTTGATTCATCTTGTAGTCAAAGAACTATAAGCATAAACCCAAACATTGCTCCCTAAGTAGCCCTAAATGAGTCTCCCAACATATTTCCCATTAAAGCTCTAAGGGTGATAAAGAAATAGTGTATTCAAAGGCAAATCACTTCAGTATGTACCTGTTGAGATGACAGCATGTGATGGTCAACAGCAAGAATACAGGGCTTTTGACCAGATACAAACACACACACACACACACACACACACACACACACACACCAAACAAACAGATATTTCCCCTCAACTCAGGGATGACTAAGTCAGTTCTCCCTGTCCCCCTCAAATTAATTGAAATCTAAAAGGTGAGGGTGAGGTGGGGGTGGAACTGTAAACCAACAAGAGGCCTTATAAGTATCTCAAAGTTATACTAACCTCCGGACAGCCAGTTTCCCAGACTATCCTGTTGGAACAACAAACAGACCTATCTTTCACTTCTTGTCATTACCAATTATCATGACATCATTGAAAGTCAGTGAACCACCATAGGGCTTAGCGAGTGGGGGTGGGGAGCTGCCACTGTCATCATTGCAGACTAAACGGTATGAAGAGCTCTCTCTCCAGCACTTTCACCCTTTGTTTCAGACACTGAAAAATGTACACTCCATAATTCTCCTTCCCTAAAGATGCCATGGCCTTTCAAAGCATTTTCCCTTCCACAGCCAATGTGCACCCTGCACCCAAAGACTTCCACACAATTTGCAATCGATATATGAGCCAAGAATTCAATTAAGAGGAAAACTTATCGTGGGAGAGTTGGGGCAATTTGTCCGATTAGTCCCTTTTCAACTCTGCTGAGAAAATAACATGAATTATCTAACGGAAGACTGAACAAAGCCCAAAGGAAGCAGCTGGGGTGGGATAAAGGGTTCCAGTGATCCAGGTCCTATCTGCAATTCTGCACACGAGAAAAGTCACGCGGTACCTTAGGACTTGAGCCTTGAGCACACAACCATGAGGGTACAGCTCTCTACTCCACAAAGCTTGAAGAAGTTGAGTCCACTCAGGACTTTAAAATCTCACCTCTTGCAAAAAGCATTTAGTCTTTACTGATGTTCAAGCTGATAGACTCAAAAAGAACAGAAGCTAAACCATTAAGTTATCCCTTGTCAATAGGCTCATCACCATCGTCAGAGACAAAGCCAAGGGTGGTTGGCATGGGAGAGTGGGCATAGCCTCTCATCTGGTCACATCTTGACACCCTCTATGGCTGGTGAGCTCACCTTGGTTGCCTCCTCCACGCTCTCCCTGAGGGCCTGCAGCTCAGCATCGTACTGTTCCTTCAGCCTATCCATTTCCTGGTCATGGCTGGAAACCTCTTCCTTCAAGGCACCCTTCAAGGCGGTCAGTTCACGCTCCCGCTTTCTCAAGAGATCTTCCTGCTCCTCTTTGGCAATGAGCAGATCCTGAAGGTCCCGTTTGGCCTGCAAGAGCTCCTGAGGGGAAACATAATCACAGAGGTAAAGAACAGACATCTTTAACAGTGGCCCAGCATCTGCCCCTCAAAACTGACCATCAGGGTTACCGGCCTGTCCTGCCCACTCTCCTTCCCATGCCACACACCTTTTAAAACAATTTGCACTTGTCAAAGGCCATCATTCCCTTGGGGCTTCCTGACTTAGTTTCTTTGAGATTTAATGTGACTGGGTTCACTGTCATTTCTTGTTGTTGTTGTTGGTTTATTGTGTGTGTGTGTGTGTGTGTGTGTGTGTGTGTGTGTGTGTGTGTGTGTGTGTTTGACAGGTTCTCATGTAGCCTAGGATGGTCCCAAACTCACTACAAAGCTAAGGATGACCCTGACCTTCTGGTCCTCCTGCCTCCTCCTTCCAAGAACTGGACCACGCACCAGCACCAACTCGTTGATGTGGTTCTGGGGCCTCAGACATGCTAGGCAAGCAGTCTACCCAATGAGCACCTCCAGCCTGCCATGCTTGTTTTTGTAACTCATTTCACTTCTGTGCCATGGCCCAGTGTGCCTGCTGTAGCCCTTATGTCCTACTGTTGCTCTGAAGCTGAGCTGACCCGCTGCCTCTTCTGCTACCCAGCCTTCAGGATGCCACACATGGTTCAACCCTATGCATGTTCCTAGAGCTCAGGACAACTTTTTTCCTATCTTGACTTCCCTGAAAAGAGCGTGGCACTCACATTTCCCTTTCTTCACTGAGGAGAGCTCACAAGGAGTCACAAATCTGGGCCAAAGGTTCCACTTCAACCCACATCCCCCAACCAAGTCCTGCCAAAGGCTCAGCCTTCTGTCCGGGATCCCTCGGTAACCAGGATTTCCCACACCTCAGATCCTCACTGTGCATCAGGCTTTCCTTCCACTGGAAGCACCCCACTGAAGTACTGCCAGCTGCCCTGTGTCTTCAGGCCTGGGTCCTTCCCATTTTCTGGAATCTTGGCTACCCATAACCTTTCCCACCAAACTCCTTCAAAGTGTGATCTCAATTCACCGGTTCACATTTCCCCTTAGTCACCTGCTATGTGGCTTTCTGTGGCTCCCCTACCAAGATAAGAGCATACAGTGTCCTCTTCCGGTTTCATTTCTGTTGCTGTGACAAAATGCCTCACCCAAAGCCACTTAGAAGAGGGAAAGGTTGATTAACTTATGATTCCCAGTTATAGCCCATTACTGAAAGGATGGCAAGGCAGGAAATCAAGGTAGTTAGTCATATCAAATCTTTAGTCAACAACTGAGAGAAATGAATGCCCCCTCACCGCCCCCCACCACCATGCTGCCTGCTTGCTTGCCTTCTCAGTTAGCTTTCTTCATTATTATACAATTCAGGGCCCGGCCCATGAAATGGTGCTGCCCAAGCCATGGTGGGTCTTCCCAACTCAATTGAAAACTCAAGGTAATCACAACAAACATGCCTTCAGAACAATCTGATCTAGACAATGCCTCGATTGAGACCTTTCCCAGGTCATTCTAAGTTTGTCACAATGACAGTTAAAATTAACCACCACACTCCCTCAGCTCCTTGTCTAGTATCGTTTCCTTGACTCCTCTTGGAGCCTCCCCGTCTCCTTTAAGAGTCTCCCCTCCCTGGAAATCACAGGACAGCACAGTCCTTCCCTGCAGCTACTTTCTCTACAAGGATCATGTCTGGCTTCTCTCCCTTCCAAGAGCTAAGCTGTATCTAAAAATGCAATTTTGCATTCTTTACTTTCTTTTGGCAAGCTCCTTGACTTTTTTCCAATGTTTGTTTGTTTGTTTGTTTGCCTCTCATCTTTTCCTGGCACCAGCACCCTGGTGACATGACAGCCACAAGTGTCACGTGTTCCACACAAACCTGAGATTAAGTACAATTACAGCTTTAGGAGACTCCACTAAGAGCCTTCCTCTCCAAGTCCTTTCCTTGGCTCTGTCAGTGGTACCACCTGTTCCCAAAGCACTGAATTCAGGAGCAGGGTAGCAACTGTGACTTCCCTCACCCCTGGCCTTTGCAGGCATAAAATCAATTCTGTAACATCTGGATCCTTCCTCTCCTCTGTTCACATTACTCCTTGTCCCCTTTGGTGTCCACCAGACCACACATCTGAGCTCCCAGAAGCAGGCTCTGTGGTGCCTCCTCCTTCCCTCTCTCTCTGCCTTTTGGAAACATTTTGAAGATCCAGACACAATGTGACTGCCTCTGAGAAGTCTTCCTGAAGTCCCTTCTTGAACAGCCACAATTCCCAACCTTCCTCTTGCAGTCTGCACTTTTAACTCTGTGAGTTGTCTTTGTGTTTGTTTTGTTTATTTGTTTCAGGAAAGGTTTCATGTATCCCAGGCTGGCCTCAAACTCCCAATACACTGTGGCCTTGAACTTCTGATCCTCCTGCCTCAGCCTCCTGAGTGCTTCGATGGAAGCCAGGGCTTTTGTGATTATTAAGCAATCACCTCAAACTCTACCACCTGAGCCACCACCCCCGCCTGTGCTCTTTCTTATATCATGTACTATATATCTTATATCCTTAGTTTCTAGAAAAAAAATGTAGATCTAATTGTTGACATTTCTGACTGGATCAAGCATTAGCAGCACTGTCTGTTCTAGGTGTAATAAGTCACCCTGCTCCTTATGGCGGGAGCCTCAAGGTCAGGATTCTACCAGCTCTCCCTACGGGGGGGGGAAGGGGGGAGGGGGCTGGAGAGATGTGTCATAGAGTGCTGTAGCACGTGTGGAAATCAGACTATTTGAGAAATCAGTTCTCTCCTTCCATCTTTACACTCACTCCATGAACTCAGGCCAGCAGGCCAGCCAGCCAGCCAGTGACAACTGACAAGGGAAGACTTTCCTCCAGGATGAGCAAGTCAGGCAGACAGGAGGACGGTCACCAAGCCAAACTCCAGCCCTGCCAGAACACCACCAGCAGGCACCAACAAGCTCCAATGAAACACAGAGACCCATCCCTGAGATCTAAGAATGCCTGTCCCAACACTCAGTAAAGGGACCACCTGGGTGTCCCTACCCATCTCTTTGTGAAGAGGAACAGAAAAGCCCATCACTGTTGCCATTGGCGACCTTCCTAGGACTTGATGGCGCCTCCTGCCAGCACCTTCAGAGTGGCCCCTTCCTGCTTTTATTCTCACAGTTTTCAGTTGTCCTTAGATAGGGCAGTTCCTCTCCCCACCCTTATCTCCTGTAGGATATATTTGTATTTGTGCTGCCGCCAAGGCGTGTCAAGAACCGAGGGTTTTGCAGTCCATTCTACACTGACAGGGTGTTATCTGTGGCTAGGGTTGTCACTTAAGTGGACCATGCTGCATGAATCCAATCAGATTAGACCTTGCCATATCGCACAGTACTTTCCAGAAGGGAGACCAACAGGCACATAGGGTTTCCAAAACTTCACTTCAATCTGAAGGCTTAATTATATCAAAAGAAGAGAGAGGAAAGTAGGAAAATATCAACAAACCTACAAGATAGAGAAATGCTCCTCTCTGGAGACTACAATCAAAGAAAACAAGGGGAAATTGGGCTACTTAAGAGTCTCTGATTTTCAAACCTTCATGCAGTCAAGAGAGGCCACATGTGACAAAGAACCAGCCAATCCACACCTAGTGTGGAGTCAGTGAGCTGACTCAGCAGCTAAGGTGCTGGCTCCCAAGCCTAAGCACAGAGACTGGTCCTCAGGACCCATGTGGTAAAAGCAGAGAACTGACTCGCACAAGCTGTCCTCAGACATCCAATGACAAGGGCACCTCCACACACACACACTCACAAAATAAATAAATAAGCATGTTAAAGATTTCTAAATAGAACAAAACAAAAAACTCCATTGTATATGAGGAGCAGGTAAAAGAAGATCTAGAAAGGTTATGTTTGGCACTTACTGCATGAGAATAATACTATTCCTAAAGATACAAACAAATGGCTATTCAAAGAGACCACAATCCATTCACAAATGAGAAAGTCAGGAGTTCTAAGATGCTAGCACACCTCCTAGATCACACAACTGGGTATGGGGAGCTAGCTCAATGAGTGTATTTGCCTTGCTACCATCAAGACCCTAGTTCAATTCCCAGAACACAGTGCTTAAAAAAGAAAAAAAGGTCAGGCCAATGGCAGGTGCATTCAATCCCAGCTTCGGGGACACAGAGACAGGTATTCCTGGGGATCCCTGGCCAGACACCTTGCTAGCCTGCTTGGCAAGTTCTAGGTTCATCTCAGATATCCAGGTAGGGCTGACATTTGAGAAACAACAACTGAGGTTTCCCTCTAGAAGCCACATGTTATACACACATACACACACAATCACTTACACACATACACATATAATCACACACACACACACACACACACACACACACACACACACACACACACACACACACACACACACAAAATAGTTTTAAAGTTTTTTTAATTAAAAAAAATATGTAGTTCTCAGGTCCTGGGAATGTAGTTCATTTGGTAGAGCTCTTGCTTCAAATGCATGAGACCCTGTGTTTTATCCTCAGCCTCACATTAAAAAAAGAAAGAAAAGAAAGAAAAGGCGGAGAACATATCTACAATCCCACGTAAGAGGTGGAGACAGGAGGATCAGAACTTCGAGGTCACCCTTGGCTATACAGTGAGTTAGAGTTTTAGTCCAGTCTGAATTACAAAAGAAAGGCCCTGACTTGAAAAAACAAAAAAAAAAAAAAAAAAAGGAATTCAACAAATAATAATTTTTCCTATTTCCTATTTGTTCATTAGTTCTTAACCCTTAGCCTAAAAAAAAAAAACAAATATTCTCTACTATGCTTTCCTTTAAACTTTTTTTTTTTTAACACAGAGTCTCAGTATGTAACTCTGGCTCCTCTGGGTCACTATGTAGACCAGGCTACTCTCTAACTCACAAAGATCTCCTGCCCCTGCCTCCCGAGTGCTGGCATTAAAGGTATGCATCACTCTGTCTGGCTTCCCTCTCACCCTCAATATGATTTTACAGATTCCATGTAGAGGCTTGATGCTATTTAACAAAAAGTGATGAATTTCTGGGCTGGGGTGGAACCAGGGCCACAGCATGTCCCTAGCATGTGCAGGGCCTTGGCTTCAGTCGCCAGCACCTTGGTAAGAAGAGCGGGTTTCATGGTAAGTCTGGACTGCTACTCAGGCTCACCGAGCATCCAGGCATCAACATTTTCAAACATTCGAAAACTTATAGATTCAATGTCCTTTGTGTTTTAAGAGTCAGTTCCCAGGCAGAAGCTATGGAAAACTTGGCCCCAACTCTAATCTGCTATCAAGTTTCTCCGGGCTACTTCTTACTAAGATACAAAGAATAAATTGAAAGTGACCGGGCGATGGGATCTTCTTTATTAGTGCTGTGGAAACTGTAGGCGGTACTATAAAAAGTTGCTAGAAAGTAAAAGGAAAGCAATAAGGCATTTCCCTGGGAACAAGGCAACACACATAAGTGACATAATGGCTAGCAATGTCTCTCCACCTCCCTCCTTCTGCAAACAACACAGGTCATGTCAGGAGAGTGACAAACAACTAGGACCCTAACTGCAAGGTGTTTAAAAAGAGATGTGCTCTGTTCCCATTCCAGTTGTGGTCTGAACACACATCACCAAAGCCAAAGTCCTTGTCTTCATCCCCCAGCAATACAAACAAACCTACAAACCTATCACTAAATCAAGTTCAGTACAAACAGTCAATAGCTTGTGCTTAAAGAGTTAAAGACCTGGGCTGAGGGTGTGGCTCAGTTGGTAGAGTGCTTATCTAGTGTGCATGAAGCCCAGGGCCTAGTCCTCTACACAGCATAAACTGGGAGTGGAGGGACCCACCAGCAATCCTGCACTTGAGAGATGGAGACAGGAAGACCAGAAGCACAAGGTCATCCTCAGCCACATAACTAGTCTGAAGTCCAGTCTGAGCTACATGAGACCCTACCTCAAAAAAAAAAAAAAAAAGATAAAATAACACACAGGTCATCTTAGAATTTACTTCACTTTAGAAAAATATGGTAACTTTCCAAAACTAATTTAAATCCGGAAAATTATTCTTTTGCTCTGTCATTCAGAAGTAGGCTGCACATGAAACGGGGAAGAAGCAAAGATGACAGACAACATGTGACTGTGTTGAAGGGAAGTATGGAAAGCTAGAGCAAGGCAGAATGGACAGAGAGAATAGAGGATGGATAGGATGGATGGAGACAGTTCAGTGCATGGCAGCACAGACTACAACCCAGGGCATGGGAACACAGACTACATGAACATCTTCTGTCCTCTGGGCTTCAGGGTGAAATGCCTCTGAAAGTATAAGTTTTCCACTGACATCATTTCTGGGAATTTATCCTTAGGAAAAATTTTGTTTTAGGGAGGGGCTCATGTATCCCAGGCTGGTCTTTAACTCACTACATCAATTGTAAACAGACTCACAGACAGTAAGAGCTGAGAATTCATACTCATTGTATGTATATTATAAAAACCGTAAACGTGTTACTTACTATAAAGACATTGTAACTATGTCAGAAAGTTCCCTGAAAAAAGGAAAATACAATCTTACCTGTAATTTACTTCAGAATAGTTCAGACACGCAAAAAAGATGAATAGATGAGCAGAAAAATTAATGTGGGAATATGACAAAACACTGACAACTCCTCTATCTGTGTTGAGAATGAATGGATGCTGATATACTAGTTTCTATGTGTGAGTGTGTGAGTATATGAGTGTGAGCATGTGTGTATCTATAAAAGTATGTGAGTGTGTATTTACATGTGTGGGCATGTAAGTGTGTGTGAGACCATCTGAGAGTGTGTGTTTATATGTGTATAAGAGTGTGTGAGAGAATGTATGTGAGCATGTGTAAGTGTGGGAGACACAGGCCAGAAGTCACCTCTGATACCATTCCTCAGACCCCATCTATCTTGTTTTGTGACACAGGGTCTTTGGGCCAGGGGCTCACTGAATAGGCTAGGCTGCCAGCCAGCACACCCCTGGGATCTGTCCACCTTTACTGCTCCTGCACTAGGATTACAAGTCGAGCTATTCTTTTTTTTATATGGGTTCTGGGGATTAACCTCAGTTCCTCATGTTTGCCCAGTCAACACTTTATCAACTGAGCCATCTATCTCTCCATTCCCTGTCATGCTATTCTTGCTGTTGTGCATAATGGTTGAAAGCTTTCCTAAGACAATGACGAACTCACGGAACACACACAACAGAAAGCAGCTTGTAGCATTCAGCTCCCGAATCCCCATCCTCCCAGGCAGGTGGGGTGACACCTGGCCCCCAGTCCCTTACCTCGATCAAGGCTCCTTTCTCCCTGTCCTCGGACTGCTTGGTACTGTCCAGTTCATCGTGCATTTCCGACAGTTGATCCTGTAGGTCTCGAATCTCTGTCTGGTGCTGTTCCCTCTCCATTTTCACCTGGAACAGCCTAATGGGTCAGGGAGAGGTCCATCAGAGAACCCTGGGATTCACAGTCCTCACTTTCAGGCTGTCACATGGACCCCTGTAGCTCCAAGAAGCCTCCTCAGCACTATAGTCTAATGTGGCCAAGATGTTAGATGAGAACTCAAAGCAACAAAATGGGACAGATTTGCAGGGACATTTTCTACCAGAAAGAGACCATGAAGTACTAGAATTTGGACACAGAATATGAAGAAATGCCTGAAATCAAGGAGAACCAGCCAATACTATGCAAGAAGAGACCCATCAAGTTAATGTCTATGGTCAATCTTGATTGTCAGCTCAACTAAACTGACAAGCAACTAGGCTATTAGAAAAATACATCTCTGGGTGTGTTTGCAAAGCTGTTTCCAAACAGGGAACCAGACCTTGATTTTTAGATTCCTTGGCCACCAAGTTTCACAGGATGATAAGGCAGGTGAGGCCTTGGAGTTACTTTTCCTCTCTACAGGCTTTGCAGAAGTGTGAGTATGTATCACAGAGACCAACCCATTCTGGAGTGCTCAGGCTAGGAGACTGTGAACCCACAGGCTAATGCACTTTGGAGGCTGGACCCAGGCGTCTGGAAACCTTAGTCGTCAGTTAGATATCACGCTGGAGGTTCCCAGTAGAAACCTTAGTCATTACATATCACCCCTCAGGGGCCCTTGCTTCTCACTCACCTGCCAGAAGATGCCCTGTTAGGGCTGAAGCTTTGTAAGCCACAATCAAGATACACAAAGTGTTTTAATAATTATTAACCTCCCTGCTATAGCTTCGCCTATACAATTTTGTAAGGGGGGGGAGGAAAGGAAGGTGAGTGGCCTTGATAAACACTTGCAGGGCTAGGAGGTGTGAAAAGCACAGAAGGTTCTAGTAGCATATGACCCAAGAAGTCAGGAAGGGCAAGGGCTCCAGCCGGGTACTCACTCTTCCAAGTTCTTCCGCAGCTCGCCTTCACTTTCCTCCAGCCGTCGCTGCAGGGTGGCCGTCTCTTCCATTTGGCTCTGGTGCCGGCCTCGTAGCTCTTCTAAATCCTCTCGCATTCTCTCTCTCTCCTCCTTAATGTTCTGATGGTTCTAATAGGAATCGGTATGATTTTAAAATACTTCTGTTGTCTATCAACACTGAAACGCCAACACCATTCTCTGTATCTGTCTGTCTGTCCGTCTGTGACAGGGTCTCACGAAGCCCAGGCTAACAGCAAACTGGCTATGTAGCCAAGGATGATCTTGAACTCCTGATCTTCCTGCCTTCACCTCCCAAGTGTTGGCAAGACAGGCGTGCACTACCATGCCTGGGTTATGAGGGGCTGGGGCTGGAACCCAGGTTTTCAAGTGTACTGAGCAAGCACTTTACCAAATGAGCTACATACCCAGCCCAGAAGGCCCTTTGTGAACACTAATGGACCCCATGCACTGTTCCTTTATTATTAAACAACTTAATCAAATCATGTAATTAAGGTTCAGAAGTTCCAGAAAGAATATGAAATATTCATGTTTAGTGAATTGAACACTTTTAAAAGAAAAATGCAAACACCGATAGACCTCATCTAGCTGTATCTATTATTTCCATTTAGTGCTTTTCACAGGAGTAATACACTTAATTCCCGTTGGTCTGCCTGTCTCCAACAGTATTTCAATTGCTCAAAGAAAACAGTTTCTGTGTGCTCCAGTTGCTTTAAAAAATTCTTTGGCTAACAGCCACCAAATTCAAAGGAATGTGCTCAGGGATGACAGGAATGTTTCTTTGGAGGGGTGTGATTTTTTCTTTGATTTTCACCTCACCTGGACATCCCAATATGTTCTAAAAATCCTTTATCAACCAAAACAGAAATGGGAAAACTGGAGGTGCCTAATCCCTTCCTCCCAATATGTTCTAAAAATCCTTTATCAACCAAAACAGAAATGGGAAAAATGTAAGAGCCTAATACCTTCACCTCCAGTTGTAGCTGCCTCTGTAGTTCAGACACTTCTAAGATCAACTTGTTCTTCTGCTCCAATAGGTCTTTGACTTCAGAGGAAAAATTCGAAGCCTGCAATTAATTACAAAGATATCCTCAGCTAAATGCTTGGAATGCTTTGCTTGAATTGTCCTCCCCCAGGGTAACATCGGGATGTGATGGATGCCACACAGCACTGACCATCGAAAGCCTCAGTCATGCAGAACCCTCCCCCAGAGATAACGGTGATGCTCCCTCAGAATTTACTTTACATCTTTCACCTAAGTCCAGGGACTATTACACCAGATTTCTGACATGACTCACACTTGAGAAAGGTGGTAGATTTACTGGACCTCTTTCAAACATATTATGAAATATTAAGGTACTGAATTTAGAACATGTTTCTACCTGCTTGTGAGTGCATGTGGGAGCCCAGACAACCTCAGGTGTTGTTTCTGAGGCTTTTTTTGGGGGAAAAAAAAAAAAAAAAAAAAAAAAAAAAAAGACAAAAACCATGATCTCTCCCCAGCCTGGGACTGGCTAAATAGGGCAGGCCCGATGGCCAGTGAGCCTTGGGATCTTCCTTTCTCTGCCTTCCCAGTAATGGAATTTGAGGGAAAAAAAAAAAAAGGTGGAGAGTAACTGAGGAAGCATCCAATGTTGACCTCTGGCCTCTATGTGCATGTGCACACACACACACACACACACACACACACACCATCCCCACCCACCAATACAATGCATACTACCAAGAGCAAATTCGAGAGTGAACCGTGGGATTTAGATGCTGATCGTGTGTCAGTATCTACCCACATTAATGAATGGACTAGAGGATCACAGTAGGGTAAGGGAAATATCTGTCCTTTCTACTCAATTCTGCTCTAAGTTTAAAATACCTTTAAATACATATAGCTTATCAGGCTGGGGGTGTAACTCAGGACTACATGTAACTGCCTAGCATACGTGAGGCCCAGTGCTCAATCCCCATCACCACAAAACAAAACCAACAAGAGTAATTTATTACTTCAGTTCAGGAGGAAAAAGAGCCCCAACAAAAGGGATGAGCAACTCATGTTGAATTAAGAAACCATCTAGAAAATTAGATACCATAAGCAAAAGACCAATCTTAGGATAAGAATATTAGGAGGTAAGAACACCACAGGAAAAGCTATTAAAAAAAAAACTATATAAAAAAATGGCCCTTTGGTTTCTGAAATTATTCCTGAGCTGTATTGTAAGCAAAGCAAGATTCCAAAAGTTCATCAAAAAAAGAGTATCTAAAAGGCAAAGAAGCCGACTGAATGCCACAGATAGTGCTGAGCTGGGGAGACACTAGAGTCCTAACTAGTCACAGTAGACTAAGCTTGGTTGACATCTTCGTATTCATTTGGACTCTAAGAAGGGAATGTAGGTCCTGCCCTGGGAGTGAAGGTGAAAACCTAATGAGACCCCCCTCAGCAGAGACAAAAACAACAGCACCTGTAGAATGAAGGTGACCCACATTGGATTCAGCTCCCTTTGGTGGAAGACAAGACAATCCAGTACACGTGTAAGTTGTCATCCACTACCCAGCATACAATTAGAAAATCCTGGATGGTTAAAGCAGCAGGGAAGAAACTGATGGTTCCCCAGTGGCAGTTAGAATCTAGAAACATGGTCAAAGAGCAACACGATATCTGAAATTGAAGAACTTATTAGGTGGTTCTTAAAAGACTGGTGGTCCCTAGGGCCCTAGGGAGATGGCTCACAGGTAATGATTGCCTGGGCAAGCAAGAGGGCCCAAGTATAGATCCCCAGAACGAACATAGGTGGGTCAGTGTGGTAGCTCACCGTGATCCCAGCCTGGGAAAGCGGCAAGATGCCTGGAACAAGCTACCTAGTAAAATGAGCCGAATCAGTGAGTTCCCGGTTTGATAAGAGACTTGCCCGTTACATTATGGTTGAAGGCTCCGGGAAGATTCTCTGTAACTTCAGGCCTCCCCCACATTCACTCAGGTGCACACGCATGCCACAAACACACATATGAAAAGAAAAATAGCATTTTCAAAGAATGATGAGGGTGTTTTCAGGACATTCAAAAGACAAACCTTTAACCTTAAAAGAGATAGAGACAGCCAACAAAATTAATAAATTTGAAACATTAAGAGAAAAGCCCACACCATTAATCCCAGTACTCAGGAGGCAGAGGAAGGCAGATCCCAGTGAATCTGAGGCCAGCCTGGTCTACAGAGTGAAAAAAGGGGGGAAGAGGGAGGAGGGCGAAGGGGGGAGGGGGAGAGGGGGGGGGGGAGAAAATATCCAGAGTATATGATATGACAAATGAAACCATACACACACACACACACATACTCACATAGACACACAAACAGACACACACAGAATAAGGGAGAGCATTTTTAAAAAGTAAAATACATGTAACTGGAATATAAGAAGAACAAAATGTGAAAGAAATATTCAAAACAAATGAACAGGGTGTTTCAGATCTGATGAGTGCCAGAAAAAGTATGAAGTCAAGAATTCAGGTTAAACACAATAAAACCACATTACACTCAAGCTTCTAAAACAATGGAAGATCAAATATTCAAAGCAGCTACAGAGAAAACGTGTGTCGCTTAAGAATGCTGCCTGCCTTCCAGGGGAGCAGGAGACAAGTGTATCTCTGAAGTGATCAGATAAAACAATGCTCCCTGAACTAAAGAGCCTCCAGCACCAGAGTGGACAAAGGCCAGTCTGAGCAAACACTGAGAGAGCCCACCGCCAGCAGAAAAGACAGCACGGCAGAACAGAACAGTTCCCCGAGACAGAAGAACACAGCCCTAGGCAGGAAACATAGAAGCACAAAAGGGGTGGAAGCAACTGGGAAGTGAACAAACCAAAATGGAAGACGTGTGGGATACGGGAAAAGTAGAGAACACAAACACGAGAAGGCCCGTCCTTATGCAGGGGACCAGACACATGAAGACTGGCAACCTGAACAAAGTGACACGCACATCCAGTGTTAGCCCCGGACAAAAGTCCTTGCTCTCTCTCCCCTCTCCTTGCCTTTTCTTAGAGCTACTGTTATGATTTGAATTAGTGTATATACGTGTATGATGCACATGTGTGCAAGTGTGTGCTGATGCTTACAGAGGCCAGAGGTGTCTGGTTCACTGCAGGTGGAGTTACAGGGTGAACCACATGACATGGGTGCTAAGAACGAAGCTCAGGTCCTCTACAAGAGCCCACTCTTAACTCTTGGGCTATCTCTCCAGCTCTGCCCACCTCATCCCCACATCTGGAAAATCTAGCTTTTGTATGGAAGGGTGAGAGACTTAGAATATCCAACTTAAAGAAAAGAAGAAAGGGATAAAGTCGGAAGGCAGACATTACCAGATCTGAGAGCCTAAAGGTACAGTGCAGATCTGTAAAGAACTGATGCGGCGTTAGAGACATAGAATCCATGGAACAAAACAGACGCCTACTATCGGGGCCTCATGTGCACCACTGGTAAGAACATCAATTGTTCTACCACTTCCTGAAACCTGTATGCACAGCAAAACTTCTGCTTAATTTACGACCTGGAAGCTCATTACTACTTATTATATACCAGAGGAATGAGTGTGTGTTCATTAAAAATTGTGTGGCACACACCTTTAATCCCAGCACTTGGGAGGCAGAGGCAGGTGGATCTCTGTGAGTTCGAGGCCAGCCTGGTCTCCAGAGTGAGTGCCAGGATAGGCTCCAAAGCTACACAGAGAAACCCTGTTTTGAAAAAAGAAAAAAAAAATTGTGTGTGAACAATACTGTTCAATGTCTACTGTAGCTTTATGTTAAGAGTCCCAGGCCAGAAATATTCACCAGGAATACACTAGTACACACACACACACACACACACACACACACACACACACACCAATATGTAATAAAAAAATAGTAAGTGCAACATTAATGAACTTCACTGACACAATATTGAAGAAATAAAGCCAGACAGACAGTAACCAGGTGACTATTTATATGAAATTTAATTAAAACTAATCTAGGTGATAGGTGTCACATTACCTCAAGAAAGAGGGGATGTGACTGACAGGGAAAGAACATTCAGGAAACTTCTGGGTGAAGGCAGTAGTACCCTGTCTGTGATCTGAGTAGGATTTGCACAGATACAAATCTGTGATAAAAATACAGAGAATTACACAGTTATGATTCTTGAAATTTACTAAATTCCACCCCAATAAACCAGTACAAAAGGATCTGTTGAAGAAAACACCTGTTGTGGGACATTCTCCAGGAACCTGTGTGTCTGCGCAGCCAGACCTTCCATCTCCAAACCTCCCTCTCTCTGGGGGATAATACTCCCGAATGCCAGGCAGACTTTCACCCCCACCCTCAGCACAGGCCTGTCTGCAAGTGCAAATAAACACACTTGGGCCAAATTGGCTTTCTCCTTTTAGTCCTTGTGTTCCCACCAAGAAGAGGGGCCAGATTAAACAGTTAGAAGGTATGGCGTCTGATCTGAGTGTGAATATCAAGGGCTCTTGTTTCTTTCCTACCGTAGACGTGATAACAGGATGAAGCTCTCCAGAGAACTTGGCTAAAATCCTACAGGTTAAGTGGTGGGGTGAAGCGATAAAAGCAGAAATCTAAGCTATAAGAGGCAGAGTCAAGGCTCACAAGTCGCTGATCCAGGTGTGGGTTGTGTATCATAAACCTGGAAGAGGCCCGTCTCACAGACTGTGGGTACCAGGACGAGATCCCCACTGCAAAAGCACAGAAGTGTCAAGTCTTCCAGTGCAATGAGGGCATCCATCTCAGCACCTAAATCCAACCCAGCAGGACAAATCACATACAAAAGGAGAAGGAGGGAACCAGGGAAGATGGCAGGGAGGAGAAAGGAAAGGAAAGAAATAAACAAAACTCTATCCGCTTTGCAGTTTCCACGATGGTCTCAGTCCATAAAGAAAAGACTCTAACATTCCCCCCTAGGGAATCACTGAACATACTCGCAAAAGATAAAAGTCCAAAACTTTGCCAGCAAAGGATCAAATTTAGAACATAAGAAAGAGAGGGGGACACGGTGTGTGGTGCCAGAGATCTCATCCTGTCTTCCTCAAGTCAGCAGGGCTTCTTAACTAGTCTCTCTCTAATCTTACCTCTCTCTAAAAGCAGCAAAAGCTTTGTATTGTCGTACAATACAACAGCATCTGTGTCTGTCTGAGAGCACTTGCCAGACACACATGAAGCCCTGGGTTCCATCCCCAGCACTGCACAAATGGGTGTGGTAGTGCACACCTGTAATCCCAGCACTCATGAGCAAGAGAATCACAAGTTCAAGGCCAGCTTTAGCTACATGAGATCCTGTCTCAAAAGAAAATAAAAATGCCTTTCAGGTAGCCTAGAGGGGAAATGTCCTATCTAGCTCTCCCCATGTCCTGGTTTTGTGTAGCAACTACATAAAATTACTTCAAGAAACATAAACATGGCAAACTTACAAATCTTTTTTTTTTTTTTCTTTTTTTTTTTTTTTTTTTTTTTTTTTTTTTTTTTTTTTCT